GCTTCTACTCCGTAAGCCAGGAAAAAAGGCGTGAATCCCGTGGATCGGTTTGGGGTCGTTCTTAGGATCTAGAGGATCGCTGGGACCTCTGCAACCCATCACCCGACATATTTGTTGAGCCGGTCGAAGATGTGTGACTTGAGTCCCTGGAGGACCATGCCATTGGCGCATTCGATCTGACCGTTAGTTCGTGGATGTCCGACCAAAGCCCAGTCGATTCTGATGTCGTACCCATCGCTGAAGTCTAGGAACTTCTTCCCGGTGAAGTTAGTCCCGTGGTCAGTGATGATACAGTTAGGAACACCGAATCGGTAGATGATGTCGAGGAAGAATTTGACCGCCTCTACCGAGCATAGGATTATTTCCTTTAGAAACGTGCGTGCGCTGTGAAGTGATTTTGATTGGTCCGTCAGTCTCATCTCACCACGTGAGTGAGAGCGAGCGAGGTCGTGTTGTTTGTCTTGTTGATGCTCCAGCGGTCGCCGGTGTTTATCTCAGACCGAAGCACAATCTTTTTTACCGTCAAAAGCATGTCACCTGTGGACAGTCCGAAGCACAATCTTTTTTACCGTCAAAAGCATGGCGCCAGTTGTAGTCAACATACATTCCCTCACCCTCACGGCTCACGCGCGCTGTCAAAAAGAAGAAGGAGGAGGTACATATATATATTCCCTTGTTGCAAATTAAAAGATGGTTGCATCTTTTCTCTTTCAATTGTTGTCACTTCCGTTCCACAGAGAATATGCATGGAACCCGCCACGGCCATGTTGAACTTTTTCACGTGCCGTGTTGTATAAACAATGTGTAAAGTGATGAGGTTCATCATATATTCTCTTCGTAATTTAATTAAATACGGGCGGAAGTCAAGTTTGTTTGCAGTAACTACCTCTGTCTGAAAAAAAAAACATGTAATTCTACCTTCATTCTAGACACATTTTCAAAGTATCAACATTTACAATATAAAATGGTGTATTATAAAAATATCTAATTAATAATGTAATAATATTTATTTAGTATAGAAAATGTTTCATATTTTTGTATAGATTTGATTAAATTTAAAATAGTTTAGGGAGTCATATATAGCTCCTCTTTGAAGTCTCACAGGACAGCGGGAGGAGCGGCCAAATTGAAGAGAGCGCTTCTGTGCCGGCAAGGCGGCAACCAAATGGAGCTACGTATGTGGCTACACGAGGGTCATGCATGACAGCAGGAGACGCGGCTAACCAAATGGTGGATCGGAGTTGCGTGCAGGGGCCAGGTCCATCCCATCCCGGCGCCCGGGCGGCTGCTGCTGCTGCTCGACGTACACAGACGAGTAGTTTTGGGCAATTATTTAACGCCGTTTGCTTCCGCCCGAAGCTCGCTCCCGCCCATGCAGATTTGTCCTGGCCGTCTGCCCGTCTCGCAGGGCACAGCAGCCTTCACCGCACCAGTTCGCCGCACGGCCCATTCACGTTGCACCGAAAACGTATACCGGAAACGTATGTGTGGTGTTTAGGTGTTAAAGGTATATTGTAAGTGTTTTATATAGATGTTATAAAAGTAAATTTGAATATTGCATATGTTGTAATGGTTATACATGTATGTTGCAAGTGCCTATTCAAAATGTTTCATCTACTTTAGACGTATGTTGCAAATATTTTATCTGGATGTTGCATATGTTGCAATGACTATACACGTATGTTGCGAGCATATATTCTAATGTTTTATTTGTTTTAAATATATATTGCAGCAAGTGTTTTTATGTTGTAAGTGTTTCATAAACAGATAGTGCAGACACAGACGGTCCCGTGTGCGCGATCCGGAGCGGGCACAGACAGAAACCACGTGCGCGGGCGGTCCCACGTGCATGCACGTGGGAAGCGGCACGGGCGAGCGAGCAGATGTAGCGACATATGCGGGCATCAAGATATATGTGTCCGTGGAGACGTCCGAGCACTAGCGGATCCTTATTTAATCGTCGGACGGATGAGTGGACGACGCATTCCTTGGTTAGTCTACCGGTTGCTGTGAAGAAATTAGCTTTTACAGTACTTAGATTTCTTGCTGATAAAGTTCACCGGTCGCCTTCGCCTGTGGTTGACTCCGTAGGCCAATTTCAGCCAGCAGCAAAGGTGACAGGCCACATGCCCACATGAAACTCGCACTGCCACGGTTAATACGAACTGTAGCATAATACTGTCGCGTCCCTGCAATGAAATAGTGATAGCATTCTTTTTCTCTTTTCGAAACTAAAGGAGTTTTTTTTTAATTTCTGACATGAATTAATCTATTATTATTAGAGTATTAGTCAATTAACATTTTTTAGAGTTCTCTTTTTAGACAATTAATTAACATTGTAACACGGCACGTAGAAATTGAGCCAAACGTTAACTTACTTTGGCCCAAAACCTTTTGCTCGTAGCCCAATTTTCAGCGAGGTAGGACCGTAGGAGTAGCAATTTGCTGCTGAAAATAAAATAAAAAATAAAAAATAAAAATAGTCATCAGGCCGAGACCACTTGAATCTCGACCCGACTTACGCTTTTCTTTAAGGCCTCGTTTATTTCCTATTCCTGGCCAGAATCGTTAGTCAATTTATATAATTTTTCATTAGCCGGATTGATTCTTATGTTATTTTGCCCAAATCGAACGAGCCCTAAAGAGGATATCTACTTCCATTAGATACAGAAAATGACAATATACAGGACAACAGTACTCATCACCACGGCATCTTTAACATAAAAGGAAAAAACAAGCACAAATTGTAGTAACGTCTTCTTCGTGACCCGGCAACGCCTCGGCGTAGAACTCTCCATCTTCTTCTCGCAAGCAACAACAAAAGAGAAAGGGACAGCCTCCACAACCATTCTCGAAGATGCATCAGCATAAAACGCCAAAAAGGGCTACATAAGCCGCAAAAGAAGCCCGTCCCAAGAGACGGAGCAAAAACACCGATGAAAGACCCTTGGCCGAGGCAACACCCCCGAAGAAGCTTGATGTTAATCCATCGCTGCCATCAGAGAAAAACAAAGGAGAAGAACCATGTTGCTGCATCACATATCGAAAGGGAAGAGTACGGACTCTCCATCCCCTTCTAACTCCTGATTGAAGAGCCGGGCACAAACCACCTAAACAGGAACCAGCAAGATCTAGAAGAGAACCCTTGTCGGAGTAGACTCTAGATCTAGCGGACACCACCCTCACAGGCATCTCGCCGGCATTGAAGAACACAACGACGAGACAGAGACGATGCTATAGGGACTGAAGTGGGTCGCCATCATCACCTTGACGCCACCGACATAGACACCAAAACTAGAGAAACTAGGACCTAATCTATTGGCACACTGGGGATCCACGTTCTTCCCCTCCTCCAGGCGGCGCAAGGGCCATCAAAGTCGAGGCAAACTGCAGATCCCGACGATGGAAACCGAAGATCTAGTGCTCCTTTTTTTATCGCGACAGTTACCGCAAAGCGGAGTTGGCCAAGCGTAAATACAGGGCAAGAGTATGGGCCCATCTCTCCCTGTCAGGCGGGGCGCGCGGAAGCGGCCACCGAAAATGATCTTCTTCTGTTCTTCATTTTGGCCCTTAGAAATGCTATAAAATGGGCCCTGTAAAGTTTTGCTTGAACAATTATGCAAAGGTCTTCGTCTAATTCACTGCTCCCTCCATTCTAAATTATAAATCGTTTTGACTTTTTAGTATAAATTGATGTACTAAAAAAGTCAAAGTGACATATAATTTGGAAAGTAGGGAGTGTTTGCTTATAAGTTAGAGGATTGTGGAACTAAACAAAATTCAAGAACATGTGTGTAACACCCCTGTTGTTACGAGCTTATTTAGCACCGCGATTTAGGCATAAGAAAAATTTCCGAAACGAGTTTCTCGGGTTTTTAATTTAAACGTACTTGAGACGATAAGCGAATCCTGTGTGACTTAGTTTCGTGGACTCAAATAAACGCTCAAGTTAAATTACGTAGTGCGTAGAAATATTTAGGAATATTCGATAACGATTCTAGCAAGTAAATGGCTAATAGCTTGTTCTGTTGGATTAAACATGAAAACAATTTTTATAACCAAAAATACGATTTGACTGGTATAGAGTTCTTAAGTAAAATTCGGAGTATGATTTTAGTTACAGTTAAAATATCGAGTAACAAACTTTAGTGCTTTAGCCGTGTTTAAAAATATAAATAGTTGGCTTGGTAAATGAATATTTGAGAGCTGAAATAATAACGATAGTGCTGCCGACCACTCATCTCACCTATCTCGCCGGTACGACGTGCGCGTTAGGAGAAAGGACCGAGCTTGCTGGCCCTGCCGGCTACTTGCTCTCCCTCCCTCTACTGGCCTTGCCGCATACTGCGCTCTCTCTCTCTCTCTCTCTGCTGCTGCCCGTGTCCTTGCCACGATGCCTGTCTGTTGTCTCGTGCGCCTTTAAGCCGAGGCCAAGCTGCGGCTGCCGCTTGTTCCCCTGCCTCCGAGCTCGAGCTCGGCCACCGCTGTTTCCACTGCTCTGTTTACCCGCGCAGCACGCGCACAGCGACGACCGACCATAGCAACAGCCTCACACATGCTACGCATTAATCTCACTTACAAGCTCGGCCCGCTGAGCACGCTGCTTGTTCGCTGCTCTGCAAACGCAGAGATTCTTCTGTGATCACTCTGTTTAATGCCGTGGTATGTGCGATCGTGCGATCAAAGGAAAGATGAGCTTTAGAAAGTTTATTAACGTTGCAATGCTGCAGTTTATAAGCTACGTATAGTATATAAACACTCGTCGCGGCCACCTGGATGGATAGCCGAAAGCAAAAGCTGAGCTCATCAGGCTCACACACTCACATACGTTTCGTGCAAGTCTGGTTCTATCTCTCTGACCAATTATTTGTGTACTAGTATCTCGCGGTAGATGAGCACTGTAGCCAGCCATGTGAGCAGCAGCAGCCCTGACGATATGAATTCCCAGGGTTGTGTTGTGCTGTTCTGCACCTGGTTTGGTAGCAACTAGCTCGGCAACGATGACCGGTCGGATGACGAACCGTGTACCGGATTGGATTGGTGGAAGGGATGACCCATGGCCATGGCATATATACCCAGTCAATCGTCGTGTTGGTCAGGGCGCGCCCATCAAACACGCACTTGAATTAATAGCAAATGCAAGTAATAGGGATCCCCGTACGACAATTTGTTAAGTCTACATTCCATGTTCCCTAATACAATGATAGCAGATGCAAGTAATAGCTTGTTACGCTTCACGTACTCTACTTAAGCCACAAAAGGAAAGCTTGAACTAACACGGCTATTACTAAAACAACAATAATAAGGTATTTGGTACAACACTTCTTTACTGATTGATCATCCATTTCTTGTACTTTTTCTGTTGGCTTCTTTTCAACTTGCCCATTCATTGCTTCTCCTATTGCTCTTTGAATCTCCACGGCTTGTTTCTGTTCGTGCATGTACTTTTTCCAAGCATGGCCAGCTTCTTCCCACGGAACACTGTAGCACGCAGAAAACACTGTAGCTACGACTTCTTTTGTGCTCCTGTGGCCCAGTTTTTGCTCTAGTCCAGGCCCATCAGTGATATTAATTGCATTTTGCAGAAACCTTTTTCGTCCAAGAAGCGAAATAGCTATATGCATCGGTAAGCAGCATATATTCACCAGGTGTTTTGCTCCATTGCTTGACTCGCACACTCAATCACTAGTTGGTCAATAATGCACCAGGTAAGACGCACAAGTACCTGGCTCTAGGCCGGTCAGAGCATTAGTTATTTCTTCCTAGGTCCGGTCCAAGCGTCGGAAGCATCCAATCACCTACAAGTTACACTGGAGCTAACTATTCTAGATTTCCCACAGATCCGATCCATCGCTCTCACCTTATCTATAGCCCGTCCAGCACGCGCACGATGGCAGGCAGACAAGCTTGCCAGCTTCTCTTCGCGGCCTATAAAATGCGAGCCCGCACAGTCCAGCAGCTGAGCCTCCGCTCTCCATATCTCCAGCTCTCTTCTCACTCTCTCGACTTCCCTGTTCTGTCCACATGCTGCACGCGGGCCGGAGTCGACATTACTCGCCGAGCGAGGAACGATGATGGGTCATGGGATCGATAGGAGTAGCTGAAAGATGATGATATGGTGATCATGTCACGGAGATGGAATGCTGACTTTTGGTTATATTTTACTAAGACAAGCCTCGGTGCATAATTCCTACTTTTTCTGTAGTTTAAATTATATTTGTGCATTAAGTTTCAAGGAGTTGAATGAAACCCACTTGCATATATATCTTTATCCTATGAGTCTTACTAGTATGACAGGATCATGTAGATTGCCATGCTACATGACTTCGGTAGAAGTCGAGTGATGGCTGTCACTCGCGAGAGATAGGAAATATATTATTGGATTATTATCACTTGGAAAATATAAAAATGGTGGAAAGGAAAATGGTGACCAGACAAGGATATGGTTTGGGTCGTGGGTGTAAGAGGTTGTGTCGCCGTGGACACAGGGTATAGCTTAGTTGCTTTCCCTGTCTGGTCGGTTAATGACCGATCGTTGCATAAGGCATCCAGGCAAGTCACAGACTTATTATCCTGAGCACATACTTGGGTATGGGCGCTTGTAAGACTTGTTGCTCTCTTGTCGCGGATCCGGCTCTTTCCGGACCGACTGTCAGGGTTTGTTTTTGGTGGAGGAGGTCCTTGCACCGCCCTGAGTCCGGGACTCAGGTGCGGGGGATTGGAGTCCCTGTTTGGACGGGGACCTGGACACCCGGGACAGGAGAGTGATGGGTTGGTTCTGCTTGTGCCTGGGTACAAGCGGAGCATGTGTTTTCGGGGTACCCAGCTGGGGGCATTGATTCACGAATCGCCGGGCGATCCAGTACGGCTTGTCTCGTGTTTAGCATCGTAGTAAGAACTGAAAGATGGAAGATGAAAAAAAAACTCTGATTGCTTACCACCTGCTTGAAAGTAGCACATGTGGTTAGTTAATGAACCAATGCGGCTATTAATAAAAATCGAATATAAGGACGCACGCTTAGTAATGCTTTTTGCAAATGCAATAAACCCACAAGTCAGATAGCCTTGAATATCCTTGGAGTCTTTTATTTTCTCATGTCGGGTAAGTCTTGCTGAGTAGAAGTGAGTACTCAGGGTTTTATTCCCCCTGTTGCAGGTGACAGGTGGATGCTAAAGCTAACTCTTGTGTGTGGATTCCTCCTGGTGGGCTCAGCGAGGATTCCTTTACGCTGCGATTGTAGTTGTTATTTATAACTTTCACCAAATAATTTTATAAATGAAAGTTTCATAATCTGTTGTCATAATTTATATATCAATGATTCATCATGTCATTAATAGATGTTTATTTCCGCTGTAACTCTGTTCACATGTTTATATTCCGCTGTTTAATTAAGTTATTCATAACTCTGATAATATAATTACATTCCGCTATTATAGTAAATAAATATTATACTCTAATGTTGTACTAAAAGTGATGTAAGAAATGGTTAAGAATGTTGTAAGCTTTATTCTCTCATTTGTGATCCTGATGGCAAAAATGTGGATTTTCGGGTTCTCCCCTGGGATGTGTCCGACGGAACCGAGTAATTTAGTGTTCTCCTTCGAATACTTAGTGTCTAATGGAAGATAAGCACTCCTATAGACATTAGATTAGGCGGTTCTGCAACAATGTGTCATGGAGCTGAATATTCTTCTGTTTCTCAGTTTAATAGAATAATATAAAAACTATTCAAAATTGACATACTCCATGTCTCCATTCGAGCATTTTACTACCTCGCTGGCTCGCTCACACCCAAATTCCTACGTTGCCCAGTCATGTTGCAATTTGTGCTCGATTTCTTTCGAGGTTGCCCAGAAGGCCTAGGCTTACCCCAAAAGTCACTTAACAAACATATTAGGCTCTGTTTTCTAGCATTATTTTAGCAGTACTTTTCAGTAAATGAATATTGTTTTTCTTTCACAACAAATCAACATGAGTATCAATAGCAACCAAATTTCTGCGAAATGAACAGGGCCTTCTCAAAATTTGTACATATTGGAGTGTCAGCGGTCCTCGGTTTGTGCTACCAGACTAACTGTATGGCGTGTGTTGTCACCGTAATAGTGTTATTATTACGCTTGACAATTTTTCCTCATTATTATTTCGATTTCGATGCTACTATACTCTAGATGATTTTGTTTGAAGTGATATTTAGCATTTTTTTTTAGCAACAAGTGATATTTAGCAATGCCCTTCTAAAAAGGACTGCGATAAGCCGCGACCCGTCACGCGCACGTCAAACGTGCGACCCCTCTGCGGCTGAAGCATGTCCAGAAGACTGGCACGCCATCTCTCCGACCGCGACCCTCCCCCAGCATCCGAAACAAGACCCTCCCTGCTTGCACACTTTCCAAAAAAAGAACATTTTTTTAAAAAAGCTATAACTTTTGAACAGTGTTTTCATTTTCAATTCCTTATGCACCGGTATATTCTACGTGACGAGACAAATAAAATTAGACTCCACTTGCCTATGTTTCGATAAACTTTATTTTAATAGCAATTTATGTGTAAAAAATATGCTTAAAGATTCATGAAATAAGTTGCTACCATATAATACTAAACTTGCTACTCAAAAAATTATTGAAATTTTTTACATGGTATGCACATTGATTGTTACCATGTGAAAAACATAATAAATTTGATATATAGTATTTGCATAATGGTATTAACCTCTAAAGAGAGTAGCGGACCAAAACAAGACAAGTTGTAATCCGCAAAGACAAATTATTATAATAAATATTGCATAAGCTGCCAGTTAGGGGGCAAGTTATTATAAAACACATTACAAAAAGCCAGAAAACATGACTTGCTGCCAACTATTAAAAAATGAGGGTAGCAAAACAAAACAAGACAAGCTGCAACTGGGGCAAATTATTAGAACAAATATTACATAAGCTGTCAAGTAAAGGGGCAAGTTATCATATAACCCACTATATGAGCTGGGAAACATGACTAGGTGACAAAATGAAGGGACGTTAATTAAAACGACAAGAGTAGCGATCCAAAATAAGATAAGCTGCACCTTGTGGAGCAAATTATTAGAATAAGCATTATATAAGGCGCTAACTTAATGGATAAGTTATTATACAACTAATATATAGGATTTAGTAAGCATTCGCTGAAAACTGAAACTAAAAAATATTAAAGCAAACTTGACTAAAAACTGAAACTTAAATTAACCAAAAAAAACAACAAAACTGAAAACTAAAGTATACAAAATAAAAATTAAAATAAAAAGAAACTGAAACTACCGGGAAAAGAAACGGAAAATGACAAATAGAAAATAAAAGTTAAAGAAAAAACAATGAAAACCAAAAGAAATAAAAAAATAAAGAAGGATAAAAATAAAAATAAAACTTACATAAAACAAAAACTAAATAAATTAAAAAGAATAAAGAAAAAAAGCCACATGCATATGAGCACGGGAGGACGCATGCGTCGCAGACTCGCAGGCCCAGCGCAGGCTCGGGAGGGCCCCAAGGCACGCAGGCCAGGCCGCGTGCGGTCGCTCCCTCCACCAGGAGCGCGACCCCGCGCTCCTTAAACTTTGCGTTCTAAAAATTAGAACTGAAAAAAGAAAAGAAAGACAATTGGGCTAGGCCCAACCCTTTTACTCGTTCCTATGGACCGCTCAAACATCAGCCCAAAAGTTTCCTCCTCCCACAGGCAAACTACCCGCGGACGGTTCAAAACCAGATTCCGAGCGAAACCCCAATCCCCTTGGCGGCGAGCTGACCGGCGATGCGTCCGCCGGCGCCGAAGGTCCCCTCTGCCGCTTCCTCGTCCTCCTACAGCCAGCGCGAGCCCCGCCCGGAGAACCCTCTCCTTCTCCTCCCCTCCTCTCGCGTCACCAAGCTCTCCCTCGGCTGTCCCCTCCTCGACCGACTCCTCTCCGGCGACTCCCCGCCGCCTCCGTTACCGAGATAGCCGGCGAGTCCGCCACTGGCAAGACCCAGCTCTGCCTCCAGCTCGCCCTCCTCGCGCCCCAGTCCCCGCTCTCCGCCTCCTCCCTCTTCCTCCACTCCGACCTCCCATTCCCCCTCCACCGCCTCCGCCGCCTCGCCCCCAAAATCCTCGACCACGTCCTCGTCGCCGCCGCGCACTCCCCCACCGACCTCCTCTCCCTCCTCGCCCGCGCCCAGCGCCTGCTCGCCAACCCCGGCCGCTCCCCGCACCGCCTCCCCATCCGCCTCATCCTCCTCGACTCCATCGCCTCCCTCTTCCGCGCCGACTTCGACGCCTCCCCCGCCGACCTCAGGCGCCGCTCCGCGCTCTTCTTCCAGATCTCGGCGAAGCTCAAGGAGCTGGCGTACAGGCACCAGTGCGTGGTGGTGGTGACCAACCAGGTGGTGGACGTGGTGGAGCGGGACGCCGGGAACACCGTGGCATGGTCGTCGGGGCGCAGTGTGAGCCCGGCGCTCGGGATCACCTGGGCTAATTGCGTCAATACGCGCCTGTTCCTGACGCGGGAGGTGGACGGGGATGGCGCCAGCGGGAGCGCAAGGAGGCGGATGAAAGTGGCGTTCGCGCCGCACCTTCCGGAGCGGTCGTGCGAGTTTGTGATACGGAGGGACGGCATCTTTGGCGTCGAGCCGGCGGAGAGGTAGGAGCTCCTCTTGTACGTCTCTTGTCATGATTCGTTACAGAAGATGTGCGTGCCCATAACATGTTTGATGAAATGTCGCCGTTGGTAGTTGGATTTCACACATCCTTTTCACAACACAATGTACAAGTGATCGAACCTTTCCGGGGACAGAGGTTTTGTAACAATCGTCATGGCTATTTTTAAAGTCGGAAATAAAAAAACTAAGTTCTGTCTTCTTGGATGCTCCTAAACTGAAGTTTGGTAGCTTGTAAATTTATGTACTAATGGGATTAATGCTTTTCAATCAAAAATAGCGAAAGTTTAGTAATGATCCATTTGCCATGCCAATATGGAGTTATGGACCCTATTGTTGATTTGTAGCTGATACAGTACGATACAGTACAGTGTGCAATCAAGTCAATCATCAAATTTAAACTTCAATTGCAGACTGGCCTGGTCCTTATGAATTATGATGCTACTGAAAGTAATATGCTATCAGAACATGTTGACTAGCTTTCAGCTGAACTTTCTCTGGCTTGCATTTACTAAAACATCGTATATGGAGCAATGATGTGCATACTTGAATTGATGTATCTGGGGTGTAAAGGGCTCGGCAAAATGTTCAATATGAGATCATTTGAAGGTCAAAGAATATACCATATTGAAGAATTTATGGTGGTCTTTTGAAATTAGCACCAGGGTTGATTATTGAATTAAACTGGTCAAGTGAAGCACGCCCAAAATAGTAATAATCCTACACAAAGAGATCTTTTCTACTTCAATTACAGAATTTATTAGACCCACGATCAATGATAGTTTTTATTAGTATAGTACACGAAAGACATCCACAAGTGCATTTATATGATCAATGCTTCTGACGTCATCCTGTGACTGAAACATGCTTTGGTATTAGTATTAGCTATTTATCACTCTCACACTATCACTGAAGGTATCCTATGCCAGGTAACAGGAGTAACATGTCTTACTTCAAAGCTCCATTACTAAAGCTTCCACTAGAATATGCAGCGTTTCACCTGTTTTTCTTCCATAATCAGATTGGTTGAAGCTTCTCTCTATAACCAATACATTGACTCGGACAAGTGAGCTGTCTTGATTGAACAGTTCTGGTGGCAATTCAATGGAGCACCACCTTCTGTGCCCTTAACTTCATCATAGCTCCCCTCTAGTGCCACTACGTAGTACGTACAGCAAGATTTATAACAGCAAGATTTATAACCAAATGCCCATTCCTAGCTTGTCTAGGTATGCAGGTCTAGGGTTGTAGAAATAAAACTCAACCAACGTAGGAGGAACTAGGTGGCATTGTAAATAAGAAGAAATAGGCATCTAAATTCTTGTCAAAGAGGACGTGAACCTAGGTTGTAGAACTAGACATGTACGAAGCACTGCTATGATGGGTGGTTTACTCAAAGAGCACTATATGTTGGGCTGGATTGTGGCCCGTGGAGAATAGGAAGATCCCTGCGGTAATAGTTGTTAACTTGCTTGGTGCATCCTTTCTTTTCCTTTATTTATTCAGCAACTGGTTCTATATTTTGGTTCTTCGGTTGAATAAAAATATGATTCATCAATTATGAACTTGAGCTCTTTTTAGTATATAGCATGACTGTTTTAGCCATTGCTAGGTGGGCTAATTAGGCTTGGGTTCTTGTGGAGACTATATGTCTATTGGATAGCCAAGCAATATTTCATGGAAGTTCTCTTATTTGATCGAAATTAACAGTCAAGAAATGGATAGAGCCAAACAACCAATTTACAGAAGTAGATGGTCTACCATCAACCATCACCGTTGCATTATTAAGCTATACAAGCTTCCAGGTCAAACCTGCTTTGGTTAGGTTGATCATGACAATATAACTAGTGAATGAGACCATGCAACTTGTATTCTTCCAAAGCCGGTCTTATAGGGCAGCATCCATCTTAATGCCTGGGAAGACTTTCAGTAAATGCCAGGTTAGCATTGTGTACAACTTTGGCTGATCTCCTCCATATATGGCAAGCAAAGTACCAGAGCACATCAAGCAACAGTTCAGAGGTGTGAGCATAATCAAAGTGTCTACAAAGTTACCAGAGTAGAAAGGCACAAAATAGCCAACACAAACAATCATCTTGTCATGGGCTGATCCCTGGCCCTAAGTGCTGGGACAAGCGAGGACCAAAGTAGGGCCCTGGCCGGCCAAAGCCTGGGCCAAGGAGAGTCCAAATCTATAAGGATTCTACCTATAGATTGCTTGGAGGTCAAGTCCCTTAAGGACTATAAATATAGGGGTCATGTACTCATTATAATCAAGAAGGAAATAGAGGTTTATCCTCTTATTCTCCCTGCTCTCCAGCTCTCCAGCCGCCGCCCTCTCCATGGCCGCACACCCCTGCCTCCTCTACGCCGTCACCGCCACTGTCCTGGGGCAGGCCGGCGCCATAGCCCCCCCCATCCAAACACCCCCAAACCAATCTACGCCCATCACACATCTCATACATCGCAAATATATGCAAACATGTCAAGGTAAGTGCGCTGCTAGCCAGTGCTTCTTCTTATATATCTCCTTACAAGTCTGGAGGGAACAATCACTTTCTGATCATTGTTCATATCATTTCTAGGTGCACCTGAACCCATATGGATACTGATAAGCTTAATTTAAACTTGTCGCTCCATCAGTCATATCCTCCAAGTATTCCAACAATATTTTCTTGCAGCTACTGTCCTAAGAAGTTCCAGAATGCTCAGGCTTTAGGTGGCCACCAAAATCCGCATAAGCTCCAGTGTAATCTTGGGAAGAGGAATCAAGAGGTTGCTCTAGCAAAAAGCCAAGGGAAAGATGAAAATTCAGGGGTGAAAGTGGGAATCTTCACTCTCTGCTGAATTTGGCAATAATGGTGTTCCACGAGGAAAGAAGCATGGTGAAGAGGTTTGACGAGTACTGCAAAGGGCAAGTGCTTCAACAGTAGTATCAGGTACTATGATCCAAAAAGTTTTTCAACAGGAGGTTGGCAGTGAAGATCTACAAAATGAGATAATGGACTTGTGACTTGTCCCTTAAGTTATAATATGTAGTCCCCTTTCATATTTGCATGCTGTTTCCTTCTTGTTGTGGTTTGAATTTCCGCAGGTTACATATTTATATAACATTGCCTGCAGTGGTTTAATAACTTTCTTGGATCAATTGAACATTGAAGTGGAAAAGATCACCATGTTTGCTAACCTGCTGCATGAAAGCAGTCCAGAAGTCATCAAGGTCCAATGTTTGGGATACTCTTTCGTATAAAAGGACCCATTTGTCACAGTCCGTAATTAATTGGCACAAATAAATCATACCCTTTTACCATCAGGGATCAGTTTATGGAATATTTTGCGTTCTCGTCATGGTTTTAAGGATCAGTAAAGATCACGTTTATGGGAAAATTCTTAGCTTCACTACTTAGCAGATGATGCGTCCCCACGCCACGTGCAGGAACACGGCCTCGCTGCCGACGGAGCGGTAGAACCAGCTCCCGTGGTTTGCGCGGCGGCGCCCCTTGGTCTTGTCGGCGCAGAGGGCGCAGCGGCGTGGGGACGCATCATCTTTGCCCATGCCCATGCGCAGGTCGAAGGAGAGACCGGCGAGGTCGAAGGCCTCCGGCAGGCCCGCGCAGCACGGCCGCACGGGTGGACGTCGTGGTCGAGGCTGGCGCAGTGGTAGAGGAACCCTCGCGCGGCGCCGCCACACGCGTTGCACAGCCTCCGGCACCGGCCGGGGGGCTTGTCGAGGAGCAGGAACTCATTGTCGCCGATCTTCCGCAGCCAGAGGCGGAACCACATCAACTTTGATTAGGTGCTGGACAAACATAATAACACATCATGTAGTTAGTGTTCATACAAAAAAAAATCAAAACATTATGATAAAATACGAAAAAAAATTGCCCCCCTGGTTCTGGTTCCGCCTCTGCCCGCAGCGCAGGCGCGAGCGCGCAACTGATGTGGAGGTCGAGGTCGCACGCCGCGCCGCGCCTGCACTCGTACCTCGCGCTGGAACCTGATGCCGTCGTCGCCGCCGCTGACAAGCTCGAGGCTGTGGTCGTGGATCCGATGCCGGATTTTCGGCGGCAGGTCGCCATGGTCGACAGTGGGCCCGAGCTTCGTCATGATCGCGCGCGGAGGGAAGGAGTCGCGGGCGTCGGCGGCGAGAACTGACCATGTCCGGATGGAGTGGCTGGGGTCGAGGAAGGGCCGAAGGGGATGCGAGCTGCCGAGCTGATATGTAATGTGTGCGCACGCACGCATTTTCTGGTTTTGTAGTTTGCACCAATCGCCTCGCCGCCAGCCGCCACCCACGACCATGGAGCCAGACACCTCCTGACAACCCTTGGGTCCCAGCCACAGCCAGTCAGGTCAGCCCCGCCGTGGTGGCCAGGGAGGGTAGCCATAGGTGATGCATATATGGCAGCGCGTGTGGATGGTTTTTCATGTTTCCGTGGTGTGCGAACGAGCCAATATGATGCGCTGTCAGGAATCCGCTGACATAGAGCTAGCACTCTACAAGTTACTCCTACGTACTCAATCCATCCCAAATGGTAAGACGTTTGATTTTTTTGACACTAAATTTGATCACTCGTCTTATTCAAAAATTTATGTAAAATATCACTTTTTTCGTCGTGGTTTGGTTTATTAATAAAAATTCTTCAAGAATGACTTAAATTTGACTATATTTGCACAAATTTTTTGAATAAAACGAGTAGTCAAACTTGGGGCCAAAAAAGTCAAACGTCTTATAATTTGGGACGGAGCGAGTAGTAGATTCCGAAAAGATGGTTCTGTTTGACAATGCTTCTCTTCTGCTTCGGCTCTGGTTTCTTTAGAGAAGCTCTATCAAATATTTTTCTAGAGGAACTATTTTCCAATAAAAAGTAGAGGAGCTAGACGACTCTGGCTCCTCCAGAGGAGCCTCTCGGGAGGAGCCGTGACAAATACCCTCAAAAGTGCAAATGAAGTAATAGACACGGTACCTGTACGCGGGGTGTCTGCAG